TTTGTCTACTTTGCACAAACATATTGTTCTTTCAGCAGCACATCTATACAATGCTCTAGATGAGCAGAAATGAAAAGATAAGGACACAAACACTTCATTGCAACATTGAATATCACTGTGGGAGTGAGCATGCTACAGTGTTCTCACAAGGACAATGAGCATCAGCTCAGACCAGTTTGAGACAAATCAGCCTACACAGCATTATCACAATTTATTATCCCTTACAGGGGTTGCAATAAAGGATTTGTGGGTCAAGGATCCCAAGGACACAACATGTTTAGCCAGCTTTTCAACACAGGCTGCAAAAGGCAACTCTTCTAAATGTGCAACAAATGGTTTTGTAATGGGAAACTGCTAATAGCATATTGCCTTAATATAACTCCAGGGCACATCTACACTTTGTAATCTCTGCAGAGCTATAAAACTGAGTTCTACTAATAATCCAAATTAGAAGAGATCAATTGAATCAACTGGATTTACAAAAATGCCATGTCACCATTCAACCATTGCTTCAATGAACTGACTACAGTTGAAGCAAGCAACTGATCCAAAATCTAGTAAATGCTCTGAGAAGACAAAAAATCTGGAAGAGATGCAGGAAAGGGCAACACAAGAATTAAAAAGCTAGAGCAGTAATTCTCAAACTCTAGTCCAGTGGTTCTCAACCTGGGGTCCCCAGATGTTTTTGGCCTACAATTCCCAGAAATCCTAACAGCTGGTAAACTGGCTGGGATTTCTGGGAGTTGTAGGCCAAAAACATCTGGGGACCTAAGGTTGAGAAGCATTGCCTAGTCCTTCAGGTGTTTTGGACGTCAGCTCCCAGAAGTCTCAGTTGCTTTGGCCAATGGTCAAGGACTATGGAGCTTAAGTCCAAAACACTTGGAAGACCAAAATTTGGGAAACACTGGGATAGAGGAAGTTCCCTATAAGAAAATACTAAAATATTTGAGATTTTTTAACTTTTTTAGAAAAAAGCAAATAAAGGGACACATATAATAACAGTATACAATTATGTATGTTGTGGGGGAAAATAAATAGGGATGAGTTTCATATATATACTGTATGGTAATTCTAAAAATTAAAATCAACTGGCACAGCTAAATTATCAGATACCAAGCAGAAACTAAACAAAGTACTTTTTCACATAGCTCAGAGTTAAATTACGGAGTTCATTTGCACAAGATATAGTAGCGACTGTTAACTTAGACTGCCTTAAGAATGTGAACAAATTAGTGTAGGACATGCCTACTCCACTTGTCAACTGTCAGTAGTGCCAAATGCTAAAGGTAGCCATAGCCCTCAACAAACAAAAAACAAAAATGACTCCGGAGTTATTGCTGAACACACTGAAGGGGATCAATTCCTCAGTACATCACACAAAATACAATCTTCTTGACTGAAGATTGACTTGAGGAATGCATGAACTTATTTTTGGGGGGGGGGGGGTACTGAGACACCTAAATATGGTAGAAGAACAAAGTTTGATACAGATTCAATGTTGACAAAATTTAGCACTTTTATTGCATCAAGAACCTCTGGCATTTTCTATACCTAAGACAATGTTTTAGTCTTTTAAAGGAAAGAGTAAGGGCTATAACAGGGAAGCACACCTTGTGCTGTATCACATCCTTAAACAATGATAATCACTATCACTCTGAATGGAAGAGGGGAATCTATGCAAAGCATATGGTAGAAAACTTGTGTAAGAGGATCTACTTGGTCAGTGACCATGCAAATTGGGGGCACCTGGCAGTCCAATAAAGTAACATTTCCAAACTTTGCATATTAAGATTTCAATGTAGAACACAGTACCCCTCCTTTGATTACAGTCTCCTGTGCCATTCTATAAGGAGGTGCTGAGATTTATAGGGCTTTGGGAGAGTGGCCTCAGTGAAAAATCCTGGGGTAGTCCTGGTGCTGTGCAAAAGGACGTAGCCTAAATCAATGCAAGGATACTCTCAAAAGCCACATATATGGATTACATATCTTAATAGTGAATTGTGTCAATTTGCTTCTTTTATTGTAAAAGTACCCTAGGACAGGGTTGAAAATAAGTGTTTCAAAGAAATAGCATGTGTTAGAATATGCCTGGACTCCTCGACAGTATTTTTGCAAAATGTTGTCATGGGTATGTACAACACATCCGCATGAAGTAATTATTACACTGTGGGACTGACAGAACAGCTGTCTGGGCAGCTTGCCGTTGTCAATATGACATATAGCTCATGCAGTTGGGATGCTAACTTTGTCACATGCCAGGGCATATGTCACGGCAGACTTCATACCCAAACATGGGCAGATTGGCACAGTGATACTTAGCAATCTTAGCACAGCTACTAGGAGACACTAAAGAGTGCAGAAGAAAACCTGGAAGGCATTCGACAGTTGACATGGGTAAGATAATAAAACTGAAAAGGTTCCTTAGTGCCAATGATTTCCTGACTCAGGACGTGCCAAAGTCTATAGGAAGCTGATGTTAACAGGAAGCACTATCAAAACTGCACAGTATTACTTCTGAAAAAGCTATATGGGACCTGCTCACTTATATTACAGGCCAGGGCTATTTTGGACTACACTGTGGTGAATGAGAAGGCTCCTCCTTCTTGTATACTGTACAACAGAGCAGCTCTTTGGACACCACTCTGTACCTCCAGATTACCAACTGGCCATAGGGATGAGTCAGGGTTTGTCACTGCACAACAGGAGGAGAAAGAACGGCCTTCACTCCCTGGTGGAAAGATAGAATGTATTACTTTTTCCACAGCTGTTCAATGGCAGCTCCCAGAAACTAGGCGCACTCCTACAGCCACACACTGAAAAATGATCCTTACTTGGACAATCCTTCTTTTGAAAGTTCCCAGATCAGTTTTTCTGAGGGAAAAAAAGATAAAGCGCAATGTTCCTACGCATCTTGCTTCTTTGCTGAACAGCCAGAACACCTTTGCTAATGGCCCTTATTAATCAGAATGAATGGACAATAACCACTCCTCTTTGTTCATGCGATCTAGATATTTGAGGACTACATGAGTACAACACTCCAACTCCCTTCCTTATGAAATTTGTCTTTTAAACCTTTCATCTTCTGCTACCTTTACCATTTGTCTTCAGTTTCTCTTTACCCTCCTTGAATTGTTCTTCTAAAACTGAATCCAGAATTCAGTACCTTCTTTGGGACAAACATAAGATACAAAATTAATGTGGCACTAAAAAAATAACAACAGGTCACACACTTGTTCTTTTTCCTGACTTACCTGAGCAAAGAAAAAAAAGGCAATGCACTGAGGATTAAACTGCAGAGATCAGAGGGATCCTCAGTAACATACTGGTCTTGCAAATGAACAACAGACTAAAAACCACTTACACAAAGTTCAACAGGTTCTTTCAACAAGGAAAGACACCAAAGGATCACAGTTCCTCTTGTAATCAAGACAAGATATGGGATTTTCCCTTCCTTCAGCACAAAAAGTCCAAAGTACATGGATGCTGCTGTCCCTTGAACATATAATTCTGGCATTTGTCAAGTGGGCACGTTAATGGAAATTTGCCACTTTTCATACTGCTCCCTTCCACTCCTCAAAACTACTGTGAACAACTGCAACAAGGTGACAGCAGTAATCTGAAGACTAGATGGCAAAATGAGGAAAGGTAGTAGACCGTGACATGCTGAACTAAAACAGTTTATCACCACTTAATATTCAGTAAGGGCGTCTCATATATGATCAAATACCTTCTCTCAGTTACTTCGTATTGATGCTAACTAATGCAGGAAAACTTCAGTTCTAGTGATGTGACACTGTCCACATCAAAAGGATATACAAGGTCAGTGTCCCAAAAGAAACAGGGCTTCCCTTACTCAAAGGAAGCTAGAGTGCAACAAGGTAGGAAAGCAATATTAGGCATCTAATTACAGGTTTGAAAGGATCTACCCAATGACTCTACGGAGCACATTCACTAGCAGTGACGATGTGAAATTGTATTACTCAACCGACAAGCGTCAGTCTTGAAAAGAAGAAAGACAGGAAGGAAGGAGGCGAGCACCAAGTAAAAAGATTATATCAACTCCTAACTATGCAAACGTGCTGACATAGTAGACTGAGGATAAAGGTGGCCTCTGTTCACTGCTTTTTAGCAATTGGTGGATAACTACCTTTATTCAATTTATTTTCTACCTTGAGTTTGATCTCCTGGAAGCAACTGTCTATGCTTTCACTATTGTACCCACTGCCCTAACCTGGGACAGAAAGATTTAGCAAAGGTCAAACAGCATGGCAGCACCTAGCAAGGTCTCCCAGGTTAGAGATCATGGTGTTCTCTGAAGTTCCCAAAATAGAGCATCCCCTTCATCCGCAATACCATTTGGTACAAACCACAGCAAGCTGTGACATCACAGCCAAACAGATTTACTGATCCTTTGAACAGGGATGGGAAAAAAAAATCTGCCAATCATGTTTTCTCCCACCGTTCATTTATCAGAATCATCATATTCTTTCCATTTTAAATATAAATGTATTTATTTATGTTTAAAAGTTCAGCTGTGTTCACTTGTCAAAGTTAGTTATTTCTGCTAGAAAAGGATGGATTTGTACCTGCCTGTTATGTACCTGTTTAAGGTGACAAGCTTCTCCCCCAAAAAGGGGAAACTAAGTACTAACATGATTGAATCCACAAGGACTCAAACCCAGAGCTAAGCATGCACACTCTTGAGAAAATGTGTCAGCTTTAATTTCATTCACATTCCATTTTGTAAAAATTCTTAATCCTTTTCATTTCATAGACAGACAGACAGACAGACAGACAGACAGATAGATAGATAGATAGATAAAGATATATAAAAAGAATTGTTTTGAATTTTTGAAGTTTTATCCAAAATGTAGTGAAACAAAATTTTTGCCCATCTCTATCTCTGAAACAAAAGCATATTGTTTCAAATGAGGAGCCAAAAGAACTCTTACTGTAGTCTGAAATGCTCAAAAAGGAAAGACGTTTACACAGATACTTACTAATTGCTCCTGTAAATGTTGGCTGCGTAAGGTCTTTTGGCACCTTCCTGTAGATGTCAAACCTGGAAAACAGACCAAAAAAGAAATGACAAATGCTATAAAACAAATGGAGCCATTTCAGTATTCCGAGTTCATAATGCTAAATGACGCCATGGATTTTTCCACTAAGGTTGCCAATAACATTATTTTTCATTTTACACCAGAGTGCAAAAAACATAAATTTTCATTCAGTTATGTAAGGGACTTGATTTTCTTTATGATTGCACCTAGCTAAAAGATCAGTCAAATTAGACGGATAGGTTGAGGAAAAAGATGGAGAGAAGCAGGAAGGGAAAAAAAAACCCCAGTTATTTTCTCTACTTCTCCAACACACCAGAAATCTCTGAAACTCTGGTCCAGGAATGCATCCCATTTTGCCCTACAGAAATCAACGGAAGTAACTGAGAACACTCAATGTTAGTCTCACTCTGATAGTCTTCATTCACTTTTAATCATCATGCCCAGATTCCTATTTCTTTACTACCTGCATGAAGATAAACCTATTTGACCTCTATTATACCAGTACAGATGTACATGAAAGTGCTTCAATACTAGCAAATAAATAAATAAATAAATAAATGCACAAAATGCTAGCATAGTTATCACCCTGACATAACCGCTGGACCGGCCACGTTGTCCGGATGCCCGACCACTGTCTCCCAAAGCAGCTGCTCTACTATAAACTCAAGAACGGAAAACGGAATGTTGGAGGACAGGAAAAGAGATTTCAAGATGGGCTCAAAGCCAACCTTAAAAACTCTGGCATAGACACTGAGAACTGGGAAGCCCTGGCCCTTGAGCACTCCAGCTGGAGGTCAGCTATGACCAGCAGTGCTGTAGAATATGAAGAGGAACGAATGGAGGGCGAAAGAGAGAAACATGCCAAGAGGAAAGCACATCAAGCCAACCCCGACCGAGACCGCTTTCCACCTGGAAACCAATGCCCTCACTGTGGGAGAAGATGCAGATCGAGAATAGGACTCCACAGTCACCTGTGGACCCACCGCCAGTACACTGATCCTGGAAGTACACTGATCCCTCAGACAATGAGGGGTCGCCTAAGTAAGTAAGTACTAGCTTGGTATGTGGAAGATTTTATATCAAGAAACATTCTGACATGTAAATCCGTGTAGTCCAAAATGGTACAGGTTCAATATCTCATTTGCAGAGTGTGAATACTAGATTTTAATTAGTCAAATAGCAGTGCAAGAAAGAAAATAACGAAATGGCAAGATTGACTGCAGTTGTTAGGAATTATTATTTATACAACAACCCTAGAATATGTACTGTCCTGAAAAGTATCAAACCTAAAAGAGAGAAAAAGTCTCAATTGTGAAGGCATTATAACCTACATTTCCCCTCTGTGAGGACCCAAAAGACATAATGGAAGACCAGTGGATTAAAAGAAAAACAAAATATGTAGTTATATAAACTATGGTACATTTAATTTATGTCTGAAGTTAAGCCAAAAGCTCAATACGTTTTATGGAGTATCGCATAAGAGTTCTGACAGGTGCACATCAGTCCGTTTTAACACAAAGATAGGATCCGAAGACTGGCCACCCTCCCTCTGTAACACAGACCTATGTCAATAGAGTATAGGGCTATTTTTCAAAGGTTCCACAAAAAGTTTTTCTGCATTCTTTCATCCTAAAGTCACTAAAGCCATAAGAAAGAAACAGCTTCATATTGCAGTCTCTCCAAAACAGAGCCCATTGCAACACCCTATCAGACTACTCTGGGTACTCTTTTTCATGTTTCTACACTTAGAGCTCAGAGATCTAAGTCTGGAAAGAATTTCAGAGGAAATAACTGGCAAAATCACCTCTGAGCATTCCTTGCTGAAGAAAATAATAAAATTCATGCAGTCACCATAAGTCTACAGGTGACTTGAAGGCACACAGACATAGACTGATAACAATGCTACTTGTTGAAACTTACATATAAATGTGTATTTTTATTTACGTATTAAGTTCCAACATAGGTACACTGTAGAAATTCCACTGCAAAAGTTCTCACATGTGAGGATGGGTACAAAGGAATTTAACTCCTGGGAGCAGGGCCATAGCCAGAAAAAAAATTGGGAGGGGGGGGGGGGTTGAAACTTTTTTAGCAAATCATGAAGAGTAGTTCAATAATACAACAACAACATTTTAATATAGTCCAAAGACTATTATTGCTCCATAAAAGGTATAAGATACATGGTATGCAAGGTTAGTAAGGCGAAAAATAGCAAAAAAATTGGGTTTTTTACCTGAAAATGTGGGGGGGGGGCTTTGAACCACCCCCCCCCCCCCCCCCCCCCCCCCCCAGCTACAGGCCTGCCTGGGAGTTACCATTAACACCCAGATCAATCCCAAGACTTGTAGGCAGGGCAACAAACAAAGTTGCCCCCTCATATAATGTTCCTCCCAAAACGATCAAGAGAGAAGCTACAAAGTATATGGTGTCTGCCACTGGGAAGGATGAGCTATAGCTTTGGAGTGTAATATTATTGGTATGCTCTCTACTCATGGGGCCAAGCATTCAGAAGCTGTCCCCAAATGACTTTTGCTGAGGAGAATTGGATGAAATCAAGCTAAGTCCATTCAGATACCATATATGATGTTGGCAAAGTCATCCAAAGCCTCTGAATAGAACTGCTTTGCCTGTGATTATCTATTTGTCTAGCTATGAGGCCTTCCAATGTTTTGGTAGTTCAAGGTATTTTTGGACAACTATGTTTATTGGACACTGATCCACAATTCTATAATATCCAGATGTGACCACTTGACTTGCATGGGGCTATAGTTGAAGATCACCTAGATCAGTGGTTCTCAACCTGTGGGTCCCCAGATGTTTTGGCCTCCAACTCCCAAAAATCCTAACAGCTGGTAAACTGGTTGAGATTTCTGGGAGTTGCAGGCCAAAACACCTGGGGACCCACAGGTTGAGAATCACTGACCTAGATGTTCAAGCTAGACAAAAATGGAGCTGCTCATCACGTCATGTGATTTTAGGGGATCATGAACATTGGCATCCTTTGTTGTTTCTTCTGCACAATGGCTACTATTAGGTTTCTAATACCAATTCAACATTTTAATCTTGAAAATCTTTTACTGCTAAGGTAGGGATCTGGCACTCACACCTTTAAGGCTTGAACACTCTAAGGCAGTGGTTCTCAACCTATGGGTCCCCAGGTGTTTTGGCCTACAACTCCCAGAAATCCCAGCCAGTTTACCAGCTGTTAGGATTTCTGGGAGTCAAAGGCCAAAACATCTGGGGACCCACAGGTTGAGAACCACTGCTCTAAGGGCTGGGGACACTGTAGATCTCCAGATGTTAATGAACTGCTTATCATTAGTCAAAAAAGAAAGTGATTGATGAGACTATGGATCCATAAGCTCTGGTGGGACTAATGGGCTACCAGGATGTGGTTTAGAGACTGCCTCTCCCATTATCATATCCCATGTAATTCCATCCACCCTGTTCTGCTTACTATCAATAATTGACGCCATGGAATAAGAACAGACTTTTTAGAGTGCTGGCCCTTAAAGCTATGGATCAATCCTTTTTTCCCTATCTTCTCCCCTAGGATATGAGACTGCCAGTTTTTGGTTGCTTTTAGAAAAGTTGCAGGACAGTTCGAGCTTGATTGGCTTTTAGCATATTGCTGAAATAAATAAATAGTTTTCTGTTGATCTGAATAGGTCTTGCATGTTTGCAGTTTATTCTTCTGTCTTTAAAAATATTTATTCTATTGTAAGCTACAGAGTTTGTGGGAAAACAGCTAAAAGACACAAGAATGTAATAGCAGGATGGCCATCTACAGAAATTGTTCCCACTTAATAGTGGTTTCAAACACAGGAACTTCTTTGAGATGTCAAATGGGGGCAGGCTGCCTGAAAGGCAGGAGATGATAAAAGAAATCTTTTAGCATTTCAATATGACAGTTTCTGGAAGGCAGAGCTACAGTTTTAAACAATTCATACGTACCCAAAAAACTGCATTCTTTTCCTCCAGAATAAAGCCTGTTACAACATTTGGTGTTTTCAGATTTAGACTTCTTAGAGCTTGATTCATCATTCCCCTCATTTTTAACACGATTCCTGGACAAACTGGCCCATTTATGGACCTTCAGCTTCCCTGGGAACATCTGGAAAGCCCTGTTTACATTCTTTCCATGTCGACCGCAGCAATGGCAGCATATGATAAAGAGCCCCATAGCAGATCATGACATCATGGCCTCACAGGCAGAGGAAATAGCTAAACTTCCTGCTCACAGCCCATTAAAACCTCAGCACTGGCGTCGTCTCACTGAAATGACAATTACGCCTTGGCAAATCTGGCAAGGAAGCCAGGCGGAGAAAGAGAGGGGCTTTGGAGTGTAACGAAATAATTGGAAACAGGAAATAGCTTTAGGCTGAAGGCAATAAAAATAACACCATGTGGATACTATAAAAGGAAGTGTGTTCTTGGAGGATGAAAACAAGCCATCACAAGGTTTTAAAATGTGTTGTCAACATTTCTGGGTTTGTGGTTTCTTGGGTTTTTAAAAGATGCAGTCTTCTCTGTGAAGAAAGCAACATTGTCTCAGTGAGTGTGCATGTTTGTATTTCAAGTTGCCTCTTAACTTAGGACAACCCCATTCACTGAATAGAATTTTCTTACTCAGAAATGGCTTACCACTGCCTTCCTCTGAAATACAGCCTACAGCATCTGGTATTCCTTGGCAGTCCCCATCCAACCATTTATCCTGCCCAGTTTCCAAGATCAGCTAAGATATGGTGCCTTCAGGATATTTAGACTTCTTCAGTATTTCTCATTTAAATTATCATAAATTACTTGACATTTCTGGGGGTTTTCCCCCCATATCAGGAGCAATTTGAGAAACTGCAAGTTGCTGCTGGTGTGAGAAAAATGGCTGTCTGCAAGGATGTTGCCCAGGGGACACCCAAATGTTTTACCATCCTGTGGGAGGCTTCTCTCATATTTCCCTATGGGAAGCTGGAGCTGATAAATGGGAGCTCACCTTGCTCCCCAG